ATGCAGACCAGAAGCAAAATTGCATAATTGCTTTCAAAACCATTTTGGGTATGATTCAACTGTAATTCTGAGAATTTTGTGACTCAATTAGTGATATAGATGAAACAAGGATTCTTCACTGTAATCCTGAGATGAAGAAAAAAGAATGGTGTCATAGAGGGTCTCCCTGATTAAAGAAGTTTCATGTCCAAAAATTGGCTAGAAAAACCATGGTTTCTGTGTTCTGGAACAAGAACAATGCCATTTTAGTAAAGTATTTGTCAAAGGACCAGATAATCGACATCACTTATTATATGTCTCTATTAGATGAACGATGAGAAGTTTTGAAGGAAAAATGGTACAGAAGTTGAATCAAGGCATGCTATTTCTGCAAGACAATGCCTTCTAAACAATCCAAAAAATGAAGAATTTGGTGTTCTTACTATTAGATCACACACTTATTCACTGGATCTCATCACCTCAGATTATCATCTCTTCACAGCTTTAAAGAAACACCAAAAGATTTTCTTCTGTTCAAGGAATCATTGGGTGTGCAGAGGGTTAGTTTCCAGGGTTTAAAAAAATTAGAAAAAAGTTGTAATAAGCATATAGAGCTGAGATGATTATGCTGAATAAAATATATTCAATTTATCAAATTTCTTTTTTCTTCTAGTAAGTTGCAAACTTTTCAGCACTCATAATTTCATAAATTCAAACTACATTATACAAATAATTAAACAAGCATTTTGTATAAGTTGTCATGAAACACTAAACTAATAAATTAACAAAAAATTTGTTAAATTAAAAAAAAAAATGCTTTTATTTAAGTATGTATCATTGTCATAGGCTAGTATATACAAATATACAATTACAAACCAGATGTATTATAGTATATCGATTAATGAAAGTAAAAATTGAAGTCAAATGCAACAGGTGTTGCCATTGATGTCATAAATCAACAGTCAGCAACCTTTCTGACCTCATGGACCACTAAACTCACAATTTAAAATTCCATAGAGTCCTGTGATAAAATTTTTTAACTATACAAACATCTATAGAATAATGATCATAAAAGTTCCATTTTACTTTATTTTACTTCATTAATATGAAATTCACTTGTTTAATTATAACAAATTAATGTGAAGTTTGTTGCTGCTTCTATGAATTAAGTTTATGGATTCTTGGCTCTTTTCCACAAAGGATGACAATCACACTCACATTATTTATTGTTGATTTATTTATTGACAACATTCATTCTGTGTTTTCATTATTTGAATCTAAAACTAATGAGTGAGATAAAGCAACCAAACATTTTGCATATCTTTCATAATATTTTGTGTAACCTTGAGTTGATTGATGTCCAGATTTCTCCATGAACCACCAAAATTTTTTCACAGACCACTATTATAGGTGACCACTATCACAGATGATGTATTTTTAGCATGGACATTAAATAATGGAGTTTTTAATGTTCAAAAAATGCAAAATTTCTTTACAATGATAATTATCTTTTTTTTTTCTGGAAAACTGTTTAAGAAAAATACAAATTTTTTGCAAAAGGTAACAATTTTTAAGGCATTTGACAGACTTATTCATCATCATTATTATTAGTTTTTTGAAAACAACCAAATTTTCACATTTTTAAATTTAGCATAAAATAAAAAATATTAATGTGAAATTATATTTGTGAAAAAATATAAAAAATTTACAGAAGCTAACAATTTTATTTCGTATATAANAACGAAAATCAACTTGAAACTTAGCTTAAGATGTTTTAGCCTATATAATAACAATTAATAGTATCTGACTGTGACAGATCAACAAAAAGACTGAAAGTTTGGGTTATAAAGATAATACTGGACTGAATAGCCCCACAGAAAGTTTAATTTTCGATTTCAAGTATTAATGGAGCAAACCTGGATTATGAAGTGTGTAATTATTGACCATTACAATATTACATTTAATATTTACTTCTTATACTGTACCATTAATGAGTGTGACTGAGTGTTTGAAATTGAATAATTTTTTAATATACTAGTTTCAGCCATTGTAAGTCAAGAGTCATAAATTGATGATTGATTGTATTTTATTTTTCCAGATTTTAAACTTTAATTGAACTACTTTAAAAAGATTTTATTAATTTATTTCTTGGATTTGACAATACTTTTTAATTATTAAAAGTCCTAATAAATTACATCATTTTATTCTTGACACACTGAGAAAGCAAATAAAGAATGACACAAACTTATACAATATATATGAGAAACTGTTTTGGCCAATAAAATACTATACTATATTACATTATACACCACTGCAAATTATAGGTAGGAAATTATAGTAATTGTATTAAAAATTTCACAAATGTTAAACAAATATGTTAGTAATAAAACCTATTAGCAGCAAATATGATGATAATTTATTTTTATCAAATAATAAAATGTACAAATCAATAATATCATCTTTTTTATTTATGAGAATAATTAGTTTGTTAAAATACATTTGAAAACTTTAAGAAACAGATCAGAAATATATTTAAAATGGAGATATTTTCAATTTATCCCATCATATTTTGTATTTATACCAATACAAAATGTCATTTATTGTCAACATCAAAGACAATTATATATGTTAACTTTTATATACAGTTTGAAAAGCCAAATGAAAAACTATGTGATCAATAGAAACATCAATTTTAAATGATCTTTGATATTTCACACAAAGCTCATTTTGTTATTAACATTTTACTTACATTATTTTTTAAAATTATAAATAAAAAGTTTGATAGGATT